AGGGGAAATCACTTGAACTTGAAGATGGAAGAGACACAGGTTGGCATCTTCCTTCGCCGCTACCTTGAGGAGGCCTTGGGATGGCTCCCTTCATCACCAGAGGGCCGTAGATTCCTCCTGTGTTAACAGGGCGGGTTCCCTGTGATTGGAGGCCAGGGAGACCGATGGGTGGGTGAAATCAGAGCTAATATAAAAGACCCATTCTAGAGAGTATCTTCTCACCATCACCGCCTTGCACTGGAGTGAGTAACGGGGTATAGTTGGCCCTTGAATAACGCGGGCTTAGGGGTGCCAGCCCTTTGTACCCACGGGTTCCTCAGTATCTGCGATTCCGCATCCGTGGATTCAACCAACCTCGGTTTCAACTACCTGTGGATTGCGTGGTACTGTACTATTTACTGTTGAAAAAAAATCCACGTGTAAGTGGACCCGTGCACCTCAAACCAAACGTGACTCAAGGCCTTGGTGAGTTAAATGTATAGTTAAGTGGAATTTGTTCTTCTTTCTGCCCTTTTTCTATCAGTTAGTGGAGATGTCAGTGAAGCAGGGATTCCAAAAAGATAGGCTGAGGGACTTCCCTGGTGGTCCAGTGGCTAAGACTCTGCACTCCCAATGCAGTGGGCCCGGGTTCGGTCCCTAGTCGGGGAACTAGATCCCGCATGCATGCCGCAGTTAAGAAGCCTGCGTGCCGCAAGTAAGACCCGGTGCAGCCAAAACTAAATAAACAAACAAACAAATAAATAAATATTTTTTTAAAAACCCCCAAAGATAGGCTGTACAGACAGAAAACAAAGACCTTTGGTCAATGAAGAGTAAATTGAGGTGGTTTTTTTTTTTAGGTTGAAGGGTAAATGCATTTTTAAATTGAGATATAGTTGATTTACAATATTGTATTAGTTTCAGGTGTAAAAAACATAGTGACTCAGAATTTCAATAGAGGGCTTCCCTGGTGGCGCAGTGGTTAAGAATCCGCCCGCCAGTGCAGGGGACACGGGTTCGATCCCTGGTCCGGGAAGATCCCACGTGCCGCGGAGCAACTAAGCCCGCGAGCCACAACTACTGAAGCCCGTGCGCCTAGAGCCCGTGCTCCACAACAAGAGAAGCCACCGCCATGAGAAGCCCGCGCACCACAGCGAAGAGCAGCCCCTGCTCGCCGCAACTAGAGAAAGCCCGCGCGCAGCAACGAAGACCCAACGCAGCCAAAAAATTTTTTTTAAAAGATTATACTCCATTTATAGTCATTATAAAATATTGGCTCTAGTCCCTGTGCTGTATAATATATGCTTGCAGCTTATCTATTGTATACGTAGTGGTTTGTATCTCTTAGTCCCATATCCCTGATTTGCCCCTCCCCCTGGGTTGTGAGTTTTCAGTGTCACCATAACATGCCAAATTTCCTTCTATCCTATAGAAAACAGTTGGAAGAACATTCTCACTTGCTAAGAGCGCAGAGCCCTCGAGTTGCACTTTGGGGCTCAACTTCCTAATATGAAAGTGAGTTTTCACACTGACAGGACTAGTGCACTC